TCTCTCTCTCTCTCTCTCTCTCTCTCTCTCTCTCTCTCTCTCTCTCTTTCCATCTCTCTCTGGTGTGAGACGTGATACAACTGTTTTTAAAATGATTCCAGAAAGGGGCTGGAGAAGTGGATCAACAGTTAAGAGTGATTGCCTCAATTGCAGAAGAGCTCAGTAGGATCTCCCAAGGCTGACATCAGATTACATCTCAGTCCTCCAAGCATCATGATCTCAGCTCAATGGGGCCCCAAAGCTAGGAACTCATCTGGCCATGTTTAGAGTCTGGAATCACAGTGACCATATGTGACCTCTCTGGTTGTGGTTATTTGTTATGTAGCAATAATTAAACACAAAACAGAAGGCCCTGGTCTTGAGTTCCTTTTGTTCTTCATAGCGTGTCAGGCAAAAATCTACCATTTCCTCAATCAGGGACAGACTCATATCAATCTTCTCACATGCTCCCAACTGTGGCCTCTGTCTCAGAACTGGTGTTGAGGACAGTTCTCCTATGGTGGGAGGAGAAAGAAAACTCATATACAACCTCAACACTTTTCTCATTTTGTTTTAGACTGAGTCTTTGTACAGCCCAGACTGGCCTTGAACTTTCAGAAATTCTCCTGCCTCAGCCTTCTGAATGCTGGGATTATAGAGATCTGTCACTAGTTCTGTCAAACTCTCTGGGATCCCCATAACTCAGTTCAATAACAGGGTATCAGAGAAGAGTCTTGCTCTTAATGTTGGTGTAGAAAAAGCCAGAGGTCTAGAATCAGACCATTGCTGTGAAAAATTTCAAGTAAAGATGTTTGGGCAACAAGGTATTCTATGTGATACACCATGACACAGTGAACCTTCGACAGCAAGATTTAATTTGTTTTATTTTGTTTTTATTTTTTTTCAGATGGAGTTTGCAAGGGCAGAGGGTGGATATGGAAGGACTGGAGAATGAATGGGATTGGGATGCATGGTGTAAAACTCACAAAGAATAACAATTATGGAAAAACAATCATTTTTATTGGCAGTAACCAAATTCATTATGGAAAACATTGATAACCATTTTTATTGCCACAAATCAAATATATTAATCTTTGTTATTACACTGGATAATTAATGCTAAGTCAGTTG